AACAACCTTTTCAACTTTAAAATTTTTATATATACATATAAAGAAAATATAAAGAGTGAATCTAACTGCATTTTCAAATCTCTGTAGGGAATCCAAGAGACTCCCCCCTTCCCACAGCGACCACGGTGTCTATGCAACAGGCCTCCTGACCGAGAGAATCACAGCCACTGGCAAAGGTATTTCCTGCCTGCCAGAATCACACCACACTCCATTCACACCAGCCTTCAAAGGCTCCTTACAATTACTAATCTTCAGTTATCCCCAAAAAACATTTACAGGCTTAGAGCATTATGTCCATTTTAAAAGTTTTTTTTAATAAATTTTTTATTCCACATTATTTCTACATTCCAATGATTCAGGAAAGTTAATGGAACAAGCCTCAAAGTGGGATTCTCAGTCTGAGGTGTTTTCTTTTAAAAATTTATTTATTCATGTATACAAGAACTGGAGTACAGGCCAGAGATGCAAGGGGTGAGAGGATTCGCCAGAGACAGAGTGGGGAACAGAACAGGCAGATCTACTGAAATACACTGCTGAGAGGTCTGCTGCGACATGTGGGTATCTCCCTGGCCGGCCGGGATCAAACCCGTGCTGCAGAGGCTGCAGACAGCTTCACAGCGCTGCATTCAACTGCTTGCGCCACCAAGGAGGCCCGATTTTTAAAGTTTTAAAACACGCTTAGTTTTTCCTATAAACTTTATCAGGATTATTACTACTCAAAAGCCCGATTAGGAAAATACAGACTTTCATTCTATAAAAAAAAAAAGATAAAGCAAATTAGCCTATAATTACTACCAACAAAATGAGAAATGATTTAACACAAAACTGATTTCCGTACTCCTCCTGGAAAACATGAACTCAGTTCTGGCATGGACATATATAGAGGTATACAGGCAGACAACAAGTTCAATGTAAACATGACGACAACTGACAAAGCAGGTGAATAACCTTAAGCATTAACTTTTATAGACTACTATAATCTAAGTTATATTGTAGAAGCATTCCAGGAATTGTTTCCTAGATGTACAAAAGGAAATCTTATCCTACACATCTCATTTCTACCAATTTCTCCAGGTAAAAACTGCTATGGTCATTTTTAAATATCTCTTTCCTTTTCTTCCCAGTAAAACCTATACATATCTGGTATTTAAATTAAAAAGTTAAACCTTCACAAGAATGATATGTGATCCTAATCTACTTAAAAGAAAACATGCCTTAGGATGAGTCATAACATCAATTCATCTACACATATTCTAGATGTCACAAGAATGAAAATTTACTCGGATTTTAACTCATTACAAAAGGCATTTGATTCCTTAAACAAAAAAAAAAAAAAACCAAACTTGGGGGCCTCCCCGGTGGCGCAGCAGTTGAGTGCTGGGCTGTGAAGCTGCCCGCAGCCTCCACAGCGCCGGTTCGATCCCCGGCTGTCTGGCACAGGTCCCACATGGGGCAGCAGACCTCTCCCCTCTCGCCCGCTCAGCAGTGTATTTCGTCAGTCTGCCTGTTCTGTTCCCCGCTCTGGCTCTGGTGAATTCTCTCACCCTCCCGCACTTCTGACTGTACCCAGTGCTTGTATAAATAAATAAATAAAATCTTAAAAACAAACAAACAAACAAACTTGGGTTAGCTGATTCTAAACTAATCTACATATATTAACAGTATGTATAAAGTCACGTTAAAAATTCATGAGCCACAATATTTTAAAACAATTTAACATATTGTAGTAGCCAAGCTCTGTAGGCCTTACAATGAATAAAAGTGAGTGTTTCAATTGTTCTGACCACAGATGTGTGAGAGAGAAGTTTCCAGGCCCATTTTGTCTTTAAAAGATATCTGAACCAGGGGCCTCCCTGGTGGCGCAGGGGTTAAAGTCTCAGAGCTATCAAGCTATTACTGGTCACTGTGGCATGAGTTCTATCCCCGTTCAGGGAGCTGACCCACATGGTACAGCAGACCTCTCCTGTCTCGCCACTGCTCCCCTCCATCCCTCCATGGTGTATTTCAGTGGATCCACCTGTTCTGCTCCCTGCTCTGTCTCTGATGAGACCTCTTACCACCCTCCTTTGCCCCCTCGTACCTCTGACCTAGACCCCAGTTCTTATATGCATAAATAAAATAAATCTAAAAAAAAAAACTGAACTGGAATATTGACAGCATTTTCTACAGAGAGACCAGAACAGCTACATTTTATACTTTATTTTAGAATAAAACAGATTTTGTTTTCAAACCACAAGTGAGAATCGAATTAAATATATATGATTCAAATGAACCATGCCAGGGTCTCCCTGGTGGCGCAGGGGTTAAAGTCTTAGCACTATCAAGCCATCACCAGCCACTGCAGCATGAGTTTGATCCCCAGCCAGGGAGCTGACCCACAAGGCACATCACCCTCCCACCCTGCTCCTCTGGCCTACACTCTAGTTCTTGTATGCATAAGTAAAATAAAATTTTCAATCTTTAATGCCAAGTAATGTAATTTCTTTACTAACATTTTCTTTCAGTGGTAAGGAAAAATCAAATCTAAATCTAAAAAAACAGAATCACAAAAAGCATTTCAGAAAATTCAGGTCACTTGTAAAATCTCACAAATGTAACGATTTCTTTTTCCCAGATTTTGTATAGCCTCTTTTTCAATGTCACAATCACTCAAATCTCTGTCCTGAAATGGTATCACCACCCTCAGACTTCAAGAATAAGAAAATAAAATCCTTTAAATGGATTAAATTCACTTCCTATTTGTTTTTTATTTAAGTAAATAAATAAAACACTTGACAATCAAGATTTACAATATAAGGGCCTCTCTGGTGCACAAAGGGTTAAGACACAACCTATGAAGCTGTCCATAGCCACTGCAGCGCAAATTCAATCCCTGGCCAGCCAGGGAGAACCCACATGGTGCAGCAGACTTCTCCTGACTTGCCCGCTGCTCCCCTCAGCAGTATATTTCAGTCAGTCTGCCTGTTCTGTTCCCCACTCTGTCTCTGGTGAATCCTCTCATCCCCTGTATCTCTGGCCTGTACCCCAGCTCTTATATGCACAAATAATCTTTTAAAAAAAAAGATTTACAATATGATCTAATAATTCCACTCCTTGGTATTTACCTGGAGAATGCAAAAATCACTAATTTGAGCGGTTTTATGTACCCCTATGTTCACTGCAGCACTATTTGCAATAGTCTAGATATAGAAACAACCTAAGTGGTCCCTGACAGATGAGTGGACTAAGAAGATGTTGTTTATATACATAGTGAAATACTATTCGGGGGCCTCCCCAGTGGCACAGTAGGTTGAGCGCCGCGCTGTGAAGCTGTCCGCAGCCTCTGCAGCACAGGTTTGATTCCCAGTCGGCCAGGAAGAAACCCACATGGCGCGGCAGACCTCTCCTGTCTCGCCCGCTGCTCCCCTCGGCAGTGTCTTTGGTCCGTCTGCCTGTTCTGCTCCCCACTCTGTCTCCGATGAACTCTCTCACCTTCCTGCGCCTCTGACTGTACCCCAGTTCTTGTAGAAATAAACAAATCTTTAAAAAAAAAAATTTTCCAGCGAAAAGGGAACAAGGGGCCTCCCTGGCCACGTGGCACAAAGGGTTAAGACACAACCTATGAAGCTATCCGCAGCCACTGATCCCCGGCCAGGGAGCTACCCACATGGCACAGCAGACCTCTCCCGTCTCATCCGCTGCTCCCCTCAGCAGTGCATTTCAATCAATCTGCCTGTTCTATTCCTCACTCTGTCTCTGGCTAATCCTCTCACACCCTGCACCTCTGGCCTGTACCCCAGCTCTTGTACACATAAATAAATAAATCTTTTTTCTAAGTTTATTTTTTTTTATTTTAATTTTTTTAAAGATTTATTTATATAAGCACTGGGTACAGTCAGAAGCACAGGAGGGTGAGAGAATTCACCAGAGCCAGAGCGGGGAGCAGAACAGGCAGACTGACGAAGTACACTGCTGAGAGGAGTAGCAGGCATGGCAGGGGAGGTCTGCAAACCATGTGGGACCCTCACCAGCAGCTGGGGATTGAACCGGCGCTGCAGAGGCTGCGGGCAGCTTCGCAGCCCAGCGCTCAACCACTGCGCCACCGGGGAGGCCCTAAAAAAAAAAAGAAAAGAAAAGAAAAATTCACTGCCTATTGTAACAATTTACCACTTCACCTGGGTTTGCTGGCACTGCGGGTATCACTACTCCGAAGAGCAAGGTACCTTCCAGCCCCTCAGCTCAACAGAAACTAAAACTAAAGAACAAGCAGCTTTAAGACAGAAGAAACTAGGGCTCCTAGTGAGTACTGCTAGCCTCGAGAAGAAAGACATGAAATATTCAAAACTTTTAATCATGAGTTTGCTACATAATATTTAAGAATGTTTATTAGACTTATAAACCAAGTAGAAGGATTTTTTTTCTGGATTAGTTAAAGATAAATTTTAATGTTTATTATTATAACCACTATAATCCTTTCGGTAAAATACCTATTTTCTCTACAATAAATGGCAAAAATGAAAAGTTTTCTCCAAGAGTTATACACGCTAATCCCCAATTGACTGTGCAGCTGTCTCCCGACAGAGACTGAAATACCAAAATTTCTAAGACAAACAGAGCGGAGGATGTGATAAGACTACTGCAAAGGTGCGTCCACCTAATACAAAAGGAATCCCACTGCTCCAGACACTGACGTCAAGAAACTCGTCCTCTGCTACAGAATGAGAATACAGTATTTATTTTTTTGTTTAAAAAAAGTTATTCTCGTATACTGGCCTCATATAATAGAAAGAAAATGATAAAAATACTTTCATTTCTATGAACCTGTAATTTGTCCTTAAGAGCCGTAACATGATACTGTTATACCTCAAAAAATTGCAAAGTAGAACTTCTCATAGCTAAATAAATTCCCTTAAACATGCAATGTTTCCAAGCTATACTGAACAGCATGAAAAAGAGATTTTTTAGTAACGGTGACATAGAACAAGAAAGTATTAGTAACAGCTGTTTTATAAGATATCTACCTGTTTCCACATTCTCCGTCTCAACTTCTTGTTCTTCTGCCACATCTTGCATCATGTAAGTGTCATCGGCATAAACCAGAACCTGGGCGGCGAAGCCCTGCTCGAGCCTGGCACTGGGAACTGGCTCTACAATCACTGCCGGGGATTCGGAAACCTTCACACTTTCCTACAAGAGCAAATTTAAAAAATAATCAAACTTTTTATTCACAAATTCTGATTCCCTGACACATCCTTGATTTCCTGTCAACTCAAGGAGCCCACATAGTGACTTTTACTACTCTAATCACTAAAGTAAAAATGAGAACAAGAAATAAAAAGGGTTAACTCTGACCATCTTTTCAAATCTCAGGAAGACACAGATGAAACATTTTACATAATCAGGGCTTTAGGATCAAGACAGTAAATTAAAAACAAGCACATAATGTCACTTATGAAAGCCCAATGAAAAATTTTCAGAACTCTTCAAGACACGTGGTAAGAGCAAGTATGATGGGTAATTACTAAGTGATGAGCAGATGCAGAAAATCGTAACCATAGCTTGGCAGCAAAAGGAAAAACAAAAGTAAAACTGAGGAACAACCCACTTTACACTGGAGACTCCACAGAAGGCAATACCAATCACTTCTAGAAATGGAAACACAGCAGAAAGTAGAGAAAGAGGAAGGGGTTAAGCGAGGAACATTCCATTAAAGCTGTTAGAAAGGCGCTCTGATTTCCAGGTCTGTTTGCTCCACTGACATTCAGCACCAGCATCTTGGAAGTAAAAGTAAAATAAGCACATGTATTAGTATCAGCGCTGCACCAAAACAGGAGAGTTTCCAATCAGCTTTCTAGGCCCCCACTCTGAGTCATGAGCAGATAGCAGAGATCACCAGGCACCCGAGGAAAGCCTGAATGTACAGATGTGTACACACACATACTCATCGTCTTCCTTGCCAGGGCGGGAGAATACAGCCATGAAATGGGAACAGGCACAGTTTAATAAAGAAACACCAAACAAAGAAAAAGAGCTCTTAGGCAATTAAACATGATGGATGAAATGAAAAAACAGAGCCTCAGAAGATAAAACTGAGGTAGGAGCCAGAGGAAAAAGATAATGCAATAGAAAGCAGGAGAGAAAACAGTTTTAGACAACCAGGCAGGCAGTCCAAAATCTAAACAATGGTTCCAGAAAAAGAGAGGGGAACGGAGGGAAAAAGAAATCGAAGAATGCCAAGCAAATGTTCCAGAGCTTCCCACGTGAAGGCCCTACCCTAGAGTAAAGAAGACCCCCACTGCGGCACACTGCTGTGAAGTATCACAGCCCTGAGAACAAAAAGATTTGACAAGTTTCTAGAAAGAAAATACACATCCCATACAAAGAATCAGTTCTCAGATTGGTCTTCTCAACATCACTGGAAAACAACAGAGCCATCTCTTCAGAAGTTAAAGGAAAATTATTTCCAACCTGCAATTCCTTACCAAGTCAAACCATTTTATGAAAGCACAATAAAGGTATTTCCTCAGACGTGAAAGATCTCAAAACATTTACCTTCTACCCATCTTTTCTAAAGAAGCAACTATAGTGTATTCCATAAAAAAAAAAAAAAAAAAAAAAAAAAGAATAACAGGAGATGACTTCACATACAGAACACTGGAAGCCCAACATGCAGAAGAGTTGTTTCCTTAGAAGGGTGCTGGAGGGAGGGCCCAGACTGCAGTGGCACAGCCTGAGACCAGCGCTCGGTCATCACAGGAACAGCCACTCACCGTCCCCAAGGACGTATCGCCCAGGTAAGCTTCCTCCAGATCTCACGTGAACCTGTTTCCTCTACCTTGCCTGACCACCTGAGTCAGCTGAGCGTGCAAATCTCCCCTCCCGGATGTGTTCTACTTTGATCTATCTACTCGGTGCTGGAATCAGACCACAGCGAGCTGGCCTCCCTTTCCGTATGACTGGATACCTGCTAAAGGACAGGAAATGCCAAGGCCACGTGGCAGCACTGCCAGGCCCTACCCCCAAGTACTCACTTGCCACACTGCCCACTTAGTACCTGAGCAGCAGCTCTGGAAACACAAACTGCCAACTTAACATCACTACAGAAATGTTAGCCAATTCTTCAAACTTAACGTGTCTAAACGGAATTGGTTTAGTCTCTTCCGTGACCCCAACCTGCGTTTGTTCTTCTCTAAATCTGTTTTCTTAGAGACTGTAGTAAGTTTTACCTCACGAAGTTCCTTGAACATTAAATACGCACAAAGTACTTAGTTAGCACAGTGTCCAGCAAAGTAAGTACTCGAAGCATGATGGCTGTGACTATAAATTACCACAGCACTGGTATTCCAACCACTACTAGTCCTCAAGTCGAAGGGAAAATCACTACGTTCCATCATGTAGTGTCTACCGCTCTTCAAATTCACTGGTCTTTCCTTCTATAGTGAAGAAAATGTAGTGAAATTTTCTTTTCCAATAGCATGGATTTCTAGTTTCATTTGATTTTTTAATGTCTCTCATGCCTCACCTCTGAGGTTCATGTTTTCTTTTAACTTCTTAAGTACATTCAAAAGAGCTATTTTGAAGTTCTGTCAATTATACCATCTCTATTATTTGTATTTGTTTTTTATTATTATTTTTTAAAGATTTATTTATTTATGCATACAAGAACTGGGGTACAGGCCAGAGGTGCGGGGGATGAGAGGTTTCACCAGAGACAGAGTGGAGAACAGAACAGACTGACTGACTGAAATGCACTGCTGAGGGGAGCAGCGGGCGAGACAGGAAAGGTCTGCTGCACCATGAGGGTAGCTCCCTGGCCGGCTAGGAGATGGAACTTGTGCTATAGAGGCTGTGGATAGCTTCACAGTGCTGTGCTTAACCCCTTGCACCCTCAGGGAGGCCCCAATATTTCTGTGTTTTTTCAAGTTATAGGTGATATTATTCCCATTTCTTTGCATTTAACATATTTGAGGTTAGATATGTAAATTTTACATTGCTGGGCCCTATGTTTTGTTGTTTTAACAGTGTTTATAATGACATATTAAGTTAGTGAGAGATCAACTTTCATGGCCTGTTTTGAACCTTTCTAGGGCAAGTCTGGGTTACCTTTTATCCTAGACACAATTCAGCCCTACCACAAGGGTCGCCCTTCTGGACTCTAAATGGATGCCTGGGCTTTTAACAATGACCTCCATTCTAAGTGACTGAAACTATAATATCTCCCAGTACTAAGTGAACTCTGTTAAAATTTTTCAGTCAATTACTGAATTTACACTTTTCTGGTTGTTCTCTGCCTGGCTTCATGGAATTTCATATTACACATTCAGTTAGACAAATAGAGTGCAAGGCAGAGTTCTGGTATTCTTTCCCTGGGGAGCTTCTTATTCTCAGAGACTCTGGCCCTCAAATTAGTTACCCTCTCCAAATTCCAAAGTTTGTTTCCACATTTCAGTGAGACTGTCCTCGTCTGACTGGGTTCCTGTTCCCCAAATTGAAGTCTGGAAAGTGGCTCCAACAAGCCATTACAATCGCAAGATCCCCTTCTCTTCTCACCAGAAGCACAGTCCTCTGCCACCTGCTGTGTATGTCTTGGTCCTTCCAGACTACTTGACTCCCCAGACTGAGAAGTTTATAAACAGCAGAAATTTAACTCAGCCGTTCTGAAGACTGGAAGCCCAGGATCAGGGTGTCTTTGTCATCAAGTCATATTATTTCCCTACTAACACAGCATATGTCATATGGCATATTAGTAAGGACATAGTATATCTATGCTTATAATGTTGAATTATACCTATATATCTAAATGCTATTTGGTAATTGGATTTTTAATTTTTTTTAAGATTTATATTTATACAATAGCTGGGGTACAGGCCAGAGGAGCAGGAGGGTTAGGATTCACCAGAGACAGAGTGGGGAGCACAGGCAGACAGACCGAAAGCACTGCTGAGGGGAGCAGTGGGTGCAACAGGAGAGGTCTGCCATGCCATGTGGGAATTCCCTGGCTGGCCAGGAATCAAACCCGCGCTGCAGAGGCTGTGCACAGCTTCAAGGCGCTGTGCTCAGCTTCAAGGCGCTGTGCTCAACCCGCTGCACCACCTGGGAGGCCCTCCTTGTTAATTTTTATGTAATATTTATTTTTATATATTTTATATATGGTTTTTGTATCTATACTCATTAATAAGATTATAGCTTTTTTGTGTCTGTCAGAAACAGAATTATTCTACTTTATTAAATGTATTTATTTATTTATGCAGACAAGAACTGGGGTACAGGCCAGAGGTGCGGGGCATGAGAGGTTTCACCAGAGACAGAGTGGGGAGCAGAACAGGTGGATCTACTGAAATACACTGCTGAGGGGAGCAGCAGGCGAGACAGGAGAGGTCTGCTGCACCATGTGGGTTGCTCCCTGGCCAGCTGGGGATCAAACTTGTGCTGCAGAGGCTGTGGATAGCTTCACAGTGCTGTGCTTAATGGCTTGTACCACCAGGGAGGCCCCTAAATGTATTGGTTTTATATGATTAGGAGAAAAGTTCTAAAATATAATGCCTAAAAATCATTAGTAACTCTCCAAATGTCCACCATTTTTGTTTTAGCTTTTTTTTAATGTTGGGTAATATCTATGTTATTTTCAGTTTTCTCTACATGTGAAAAAAGGTTTAGACATCTTCAATTTCACTTCACTGACTGGTTAAATGAGTAAGAAAGTAATGTGTGACAGTTAGGAAATAGCTGCAATACTCATGAAGAAGACTAAATGTTGTTTTTTTTTTTTCTGTTTTATTTTAAATGTTGATATTTTAATTTGAAAACTGATTATTCCTCTTTTTCCATGACTTCCTTTTGCTCATACAAGTCCATCTCCATAACAAAGAAAAAACATTTGCCTCACTTCATAAATAAGATATTGCTGAGTATTTCTATAGTCTTAAAAAAGATTATCTTTCATGATGAATAATCCGAATTAATTTTCCTTTTAATCCTTAACACTTGCTTAATAATCAATAAGGTGACTCTGACTGGCTTATACAATATCTAGACTGGAGCTATGATTATAAAATCGACAGGTTAATTTTTTATCTTATCCCACATTTCAGAAGAGATTATTAGGTGTATAGAGGAAATACATTCCTGAGAAGTAGCTCTCGAGATAAAAATCTACCCAAATACAACATTATCTCTAAAACTTCCTTTGTAAAATTTTAAGTTATTTCAGGTCCTACTAGTTTTTCTTTCTTCATGGAATTCTCTTCCCCAGATGTCGCCAAAGCTCAACCTCTCACTTAATTTAGGTCTAAACTACACAGACGCCTCTTCAGAGAAGCCTCCCCTGACCACCTTATTAAATACTCTCTGCCATGTCCCCAGCCATCTGTAGGCCTGATTTATTCTTCAAGGTCCTTCCAAATACTTCATCCCTGGCACTTAGAAAAGGATCTGACCACAGAAAGTGGTCAGTTAATATTTGTTGAAGGAACAAATAAATGAAAGTAACTGAACATCTACATGTATAATTTGAAGAAAAAGTTTCCCAGGATTAGTTAGCTGCCTCTCCTCTGGTCCATGCTACTTTAGGTGCCTGTGATGGCCTTAGGTGACAGTCACATAATCCTTTGTCCTTGTGCCTCGTTAAAATGACTTCATCTTTCAGATTACTTCTTCAACAACAATTAGTTCTTGGCCTCCCTGGTGGTGCAGCAGGTTGAGCACCGCGCTGTAAATCTGTCCGCAGCCTCTGCAGCACGGGTTCTATTCCTGACCGGCCAGGGAGAAACCCACATGGCGCGACAGACCTCTCCTGTCTCGCCCACTACTCCCCTCAGCAGTGTCTTTGGTCCATCTGTCTGTTCTGCTCTCCGCTCTGTCTCTGGTGAATTCTCTCACCTTCCCGCACATCTGACCTGTACCCTATTTCTTGTATAAATAAATAAAATCTTTAAAAAATAAATAAGTAAAATAAAATGAGAGCCAATGTGTCCATGAGGAAAGAATCATACATTTAAAAAATAATAATAATAATCAGTTCTTCAGGCCACAACACCTAGGATTCCATGTAAAGGAAGAAAAAATAAACTGTCTAAACAAAACAAACTGTTAAATTCTTTCCCCCATATTAATGACACCCAATCAGCACAAGCTGAGTATATTCTGCCCAGGGTTCACGCAAAGAGAAATATCAACAGAGTAAAAGCATGGAACAAAGAAACAGCAGTTAAAGCAGCAATAATTAGTCTCGATGATGTAGAAGAGAATGGAGTCCCGCAGTTCCTGCTCTCTTTGATAAATCCTATCTGGAAGTGATCACAAAGAAAGCAAGTCTTCAAAGTAGAAGGAGAAATTGATTATGAGCGTAAGTCATATTCTGTAGCTGTGGTTGAATGGACTCTGAACCAGTGTTTAGATTCAAATACAACAGGAAAATGAGTTATCAAATCCATAACAAAGGAAAACCAACACCCTCACTTAATCCCCTTCCCACTGAATCTGATGACAGCAATCCTGGAAGACCCAACAGTCTCCAAGCACACAAGAAGAGAATCCAGACTCCAGAACCCACAGCCTCAAGTCCCAGCTTGTTTCTCAGCCATGTCACTGTACCAGCAATAGCAGCATCTTTCACCGAATAGAGAGAAAAAACAGATTTCTTCATATAGTAACTCTGCATTCCCCTACCACCTCTCTGCCCAAATATGTGTCCATTACTGAAACAGCAGTATTATGTCTTCATTGAGACCCTTCCCAATATCCAGTCTTCATCGAATGGTGGAAAGAGAAGTAACATCCTGAAGTCCATGCATTTCTGGTGATGGTTTTCCATTACCATATTATCAATAATACAAAAAATAACCAGATGTGCAAATGATGCAAAATTCCACACATACAAAATCCAAAACCTGAATTTTTTTTCTCATTTACTATCTAGTCTTGTGTGATTATGATGGAGTCCCACACCAGATTAATTACAACAGAATAACCAGGGCCTCCCCGGTGGCACAGGGGTTAAAGTCTCAACGCTCTCAAACTACAGGCAGCCACTGCAGCATGAATTCGATCCCCAGTCAGAGAGCAGCCCACATGGTGCAGCAGACCTCTCCTGTCTCCCCACTGCTCCCCTCAGCAGTGTATTTCAGTGGATCTGCCTGTTCTGCTCCCCACTCTGTCTCTGGTGAATCCTCTCACCCCCTGCACCTCTGGCCTACACCCCAGTTCTGGTATGCATAAATAAATAAAAATAAATCCTTAAAAAGAAAAACAGAATAAACAAAAAACAAAGACAACAACTAAAGGAAATACAATATTCTAATTTAGGATGAATCTAGTTTAGATGTTTGGTACAATATATACCCACACATTCTAGAACCTAAAACAAACGATTTTATCAAGAATTCAAACCTATCTCTCAAGTAATACTAGAATTCTTTCTACCACTGTTTTCCTTCCCTTTCATTCTAATACATGCACGTTCCCACAACTCTGCTGAGCTCTGTAGTACCTTCTCAATCTTCTAGCACCTAAATTATAAGATAACACATCACATATACATATATAATGAACCATTGTACCCTTCTGGAAAACTCTCAAATACCTATTACCCAGCAATTTCAAAACTAGCTCATGCATTGATTTCTATAAAGAAAATAGAAATATAATACATTGGATGCCTAACCTCTTGATTTTTTACTCCATTGCTGGAAAGCTCCAAGATAGAACCTCCACTGTCAACCACTGCTGATGTCATTGTTTATTCCCCTGAGGAAGCTTCAAAGGCTATTAATCAATGTAATTAAAGGTTCATGGATGACTGCCAGTGTTATAGATTTGCATTATCATGTTTTAATAGTCAATAGAGATGGAGTGGAGTAGATATCCAGAAATCCAGTCTTCTAAAGATGATTAACCAGAGAGCCTAAAAAGAGGAAGAATTCAAAAGTTATTAAAAATACACAATATAGAGCATAACCTATTTTGCAATCTAATTTTTAGCATTTTCATAAACTGAAAAAAAAATCGGTATAAAAGGCCCTGTGTCAAGAAAGGGCAGTAATGGGCATTCTGCTTCTTCAAACTGCCAAATTCATAAATGTGCCCAAGTAAGTTCTTACTAAGTCATCGTACATGGGTGGTACTATGACATCTGTGTTCCAAGAGAGCAAATGTTGTAACTTCTCCCTTAATTAAGATGCACTTCTATTCCTGAAATACTTCAGTAGAAGTTTTTAAGATCGTTGTAAGCAATGAAAACAAAATGTGCTGGACTAACACAACTTGTAAGACTACTTGCCTGTTTGATAAATTAAAAGATTTATTGGTTTGTAAGTATTTCATTCTTCTTTGGCTCATATGGTTTGTTTATTTGAACAATGTAATTAGAATTGCCTTTTGTTTGTGGCATGCATGTTCTGTGTTCACATTTTGAATATTCTATAAAACAGATTAATCAGAGTTGCTTATAATCTTAAATACAATAGTTTGGAAATAAAGTAATGAAACCACTTGGATTACCTTAATATTACTTTATTCTTTCCTTAATAATTACTTTACTATTCATTAAAATCCAATATAGCTAATGGTTTCAAGTAAACATAATCCAAGCCTTTTATTCCTCTACCATAGATGAAATGCCAGTGTGTACATTACCTAGATTTTTGCATTAGATTATCCCTTAAAAATCATTTTATTTGGTTTTATGAATGTTAGTTTTCTTTTTTTTTTTTTAAATAATGCATCTCCTTGACTTTTTTTTTTAAGATTTATTTATCTGTGCATATAAGAGCTGGGGTACAGGCCAGAGGTGTGGCGGGGCAGGGGGAGAGGTGAGAAGATTCACCAGAGACAGAGCAGGAAACAGAACAGGCAGACTGACTGAAGTACACTGCTGAGGGGAGCAACAGGCGAGACAGGAGAAGTCTGCCTCGACATTTGGGTTGCTCCCTGGTCGGCCGGGGGATCGAACTCATGCTGCAGAGGCTTCAGACTGCTTCATAGGTTGCATCTTAATCCCTTGTGCCACCAGGGAGGTCCTGAAGTTTTCGGATTTCTTTTTTTTTTTTTTTTTTAAGATTTATTTATTTATTTTTACATACATACAAGCACTGGGTACAGTCAGAAGCAAGGGAGGGTGAGAGAATTCACCAGAGCCAGAGAGGGGAACAGAACAGGCAGATTGACGAAACACACTGCTGAGGGGAGCAGCGGGCACGGGCCGGGGATCCAACCAGCACTGCAGAGGCTGCGGGCAGCTTCGCAGCCCAGCAGTCAACCGCTGCACCACCAGGGGATGCCCTAAAGTTTTCAGATTTCTAACAGGACTTTTCATACAAAAAAAAAGAGAATGTAGAAAAATTAAGCATATTTAAAGAGGAATGAATATACATTTGTAATAAATCATTCCATTTAGTATTATAGCCTGTAGTAGTGTGACTACTGGTAGTACACAGTTATATAAATTAAAAATGAAGAATTTCCATAAACGTGTACAATAAAAAGAAAAACCTCACCTAAATACTATTAATACCCTTGCAGTTTTAACAACAGAAAATGGGGTAGGAAGTATTTTAAGAATAAAAATTAGGAAAAACCCACAATGGCGGGCCTCCCCGGTGGCGCAGCGGTTGAGCGCTGGGTTGCGAAGCTGCCCGCGGCCTCTGCGGCGCTGGTTCGATCCCCGGCTGCTCCCCGGCCACCAGAGGAGGGTCCCACATGGCGTGCAGACCTCTCCTGCCGCCCGCTGCTCCCCTCAGCAGTGTCCTTCGGTCCTTCTGCCTGCTCTGCTCCCCGCTCTGGCTCTGGTGAATTCTCTCACCCTCCCGCGCTTCTGACTGTACCCAGTGCATGTATAAACAAAAACAAACAAACAAACCAGCAAACAAATAAATAAAAGCATGCCTCTATAAAAAAAAAAAAAAAAAAAACCCACAATGGCATCACACTAAAGCTCATTAGCATCATATAATGTATTTTCAAATTTTGTTTTCTAAACAAAGCTAATGATAACAGAAATGATTTTTACTTACAATTTGAATGTTAAGTACTCTAAGCATCCTTCATTATTTTCACAAGTTGGCAAGAGCTAAAGTATAAACCAGCAGTTCTCTGGAACTACTAGTGGGGAGGCGGCGGGAGGGAAGAAAGTATTAATATAATTCTACTGAAAAAGCATTTTGCCCAAAATAGGTGTGACTATGTTCTTTTTTTTTTAATATTTATTTATTTATGCATACAAGAACTGGGGCACAGGCCAGAGGTATGGAGGGTGAGAGGATTCACCAGAGACAGAGTGGGGAACAGAACAGGCAGACTGACTGAAATACTCTGCTGAGGGGAGCAGCGGGTGAGACAGGAGAGGTCTGCTGCGCCACGCGGGTTCTCCCGGGCCGGGGATGGAACTCAGGCTGCAGAGGCTGGGGACAGCTTCACAGGCTGCATCTTAACCCCTTGCACCACCAGGGAGGCCCAGACTCAGAATGTTCTTATTATGACAAAAAACTACCTCCAAAGCCTGACACACCCTATGTAGTAAATGTAAGAAATTATGTCTAGGCTATTGAGTAATCCAAAAGTTTTTCTCAAACTTAACATTTTAAGTCACCTAAAAATGAACAATGATGTAAATAAAAAATAAAAATATATATAAAATAAAATGTAATCTGAGCATATAAAAAGAAAAAAAAATTTTAACTAACACTTACTGAATAATGGCAGACCCATGATTCACAAGCTCTGCCCCATATTGTGAGGTGTACTTCAATCAACCAACAGGTTTTTAGTAAGTAGCTGACCCCCAGGAGTATAAAATCTAGTCAAAAAACACCCACAAAACCCACTATGAAACAAAGTTCTCCCACTCTGTCTCCGGTGAATCCTCTCACCCCCCACACCTCTGGCCTCCAACCCAGCTCTTGTATGCATAGATAAATAAATCTTTTTAAAAAGTAGTAAAACAATGTTAATGATACACTTCTGCCGATTACCAACTTAGCACCCACACACATCTAAACGTCTCAAGTCTCCTCAAATATCCTCCACCATTGGGAGGCTTAGCTACTGACTACACGTGAGATCTCATCAGGCCTCGCTCAATTATTCTCTTTTTCCTTGGTTTTCTCTTAACATTGGCTTCTTTCCCTCAACACCGACACAGCTACGAGACTATCCTCTCACACTGGAGGAGTCCTCCTCCACCATCACTGCAGCCACTACAGTTCCCTCCTTTCTCAGATAAGGTTCTAGGGGAAAAAAACCTGTACTGTCTCCACTTCATCTCTCAGGTACGCCTTCTTTGATAGTTTGATCCATCACCACTCAGCTGTTTTACTAAATTCTGGGTGTCAAATCCAATGGACATTCTGTCTCCACAGGACTTAATGTCGATGAAGCATTAGACAATTTTGATCATTTCCTTCCTTGAAACGATCTCAAATCTATCTTTCCTCTCTAGTTACTCCTTTTCTACTCCTTCTTGCAGGCCCATCCCTAATTTTCAAGGGACCTAGGGAAGTCATACACCAAAGGTCTAAATGAAGTTATAAATCACACTAACAGGATATTAAAATTATTACTCTACTCTCCTATCTTGACTTACACACACTTTTAAAACAATCTTAGGGCCTCCCCGGTGGCGCAGTGGTTGAGCGCTGGGTTGCGAAGCTGCCCGCAGCCTCTGCAGCGCCGGTTCGATCCCCGGCTGCTCCCCGGCCACCGGAGGAGGGTCCCGCATGGCGCGCAGACCTCTCCTGCCGCTCGCTGCTCCCCTCAGCAGTGTACTTCGGTCCTTCTGCCTGCTCTGCTCCCCGCTCTGGCTCTGGTGAATTCTCTCACCCTCGAGCTTCTGACTGTACCCAGAGCTTGTATAAATAAATCTTAAAAAAAAAAAAAAAAAAACCTTAAAGGCTAAGTTCTAACTTGGAATCTTCCAATATCCTCAAGTTCTATAGGCTACAGGAGGACAACTCCCTTCCCCTGGCCTTAATTAAGCCTGTCCCTTTTTCTCTTTCCACCTTTGGCTACACTTCATATTACAAGGAGTCTCATGTATATACTGTCAACACCCCAACCCACATGTCCAGGTCCTGGCTGCAGGCCTGCAAACAGCTACTGTTGGCCATCCCTATGTGAATTAAACTAAAATATATTTGACTTTGTAAAGGGGATGGGCATTGTTGAAAATTAGAATTTTAATATAGGAGGCGATTCTAATTCAAAACTGACACTATTATAATACTAAGAACTGTGGCTGGTAATCTATACTCAGATACAGTTTGGTTTCTTTCTATAAGACCAGCTATTTTGTTGGCAAAATTAAGCCTTTTAATATGGAACTCAATTCCTGAAGTACTTCCGTTTTTTATTTTCATTGTTCCTGTTTATTTTTCTGAAATTACCTACCTAGTCTGACAGGATCTATAGTTTGTAGGTAGTTTATAATGCTAATATAATGACAGACTCAATAGTAAGTCTCAACCATGTATTTTTCTAGTTACTGAGCCAGGCATTTTTATACACTTTTCTTCCCTTACAAAAGTCCTGTGAAACAAGTGTAATTATCCCACTTATCACATGAAGACTATTCTGACACTATGTAAGAGCTAGTATGATTTAACAGTTAAAAGCCTGCTGGCCATTGTATTCTCAGAACACAGTAGATGCTCAATAAGCATTTGTTGAATTTTGGCTTTACATATAATTTACTTATAATAAGTGTAATGTTATAAATATATAAGAACTTATGTAACTCTAAGTAAGCTTAAGCACTTATCTCTTTAAAAGTCAGCATTAGGGTTCTCCCTGGTGGCTTACAGGTTAAGTCAGTCTCAGCTCTATCACTGCTATGGCCTGAATTCCATTACAGGCCAGGCACAGCAGACCTCTCCAGTCTCGCCCGCTGCAGTGTATTTCAGTGGATACACC